ACAATGATTAACTGCAGAATACTGAGATGGAAAGCAGACTGGTCTCCAGATTTATGATTACTTGGTGTTGACTAAACTTACAGCTGTTGATTTGGCTGTAGCACATATTTCAAATTTACCAGACTGGATTATTCAGCGAGTGGACCCATTCTATAATCTCTCCTGTAATTTGGTTGATCATATTTTGAGGTGAAAAACCCCATTCTGTTGTATGAGTCTTTGGTATGTTGGGGAAGATGCACTGCTCAGAAACATAAAAGTTCACTGTGACCCAAACAAACTAGTATTTGCCAAAAAAAAAAGTAGAAATTTTTGTTTAACTTATTGCTTATCTGAATTATGCAGTTACAGTACTGTGGCAAATATTATCCTATTGTTATTTAGAATGCATCTAAATTAGCCCCTAGAGGAGTGGCGTCCACTTCCATAATAGCTTGCCTCCAGAAACCCTATGAACTTGGAGAGAGGATGAAAGGCACCCATGCGTCAAGGACTCTCTCCTTCATAGGGTCGCTATGAGTCACCTGTGACTCGACGGCACTAAACAACACAACTCTACTCACTACCCTTTCATATTTCTCACAGTACTAGAAACTTACCTATTTGGCCTAGTATCTCCTAGCTGGCTAGGCACTGCTCTGTAGGCTTGAGCATGGTAGAGACTGTGAGAATGGGGAAGGGCAGGGAAAGATTTCAATCTGCTGTTCATACAGCTGCTATGAGTTGTGGTCAACTTGACAGCATTTAATGACAAAGCTAGCAAGAAAGAATTACTCTTAAAATCCAGGGTGACATGTATTGCTGGAATTGGTTATTTTGTAAGATAATGTAAAATTACATAAAGATGTCAACAAATTGAATTGACCAACTTTGGGGAATAGATCTGTGTAAACAAATTATTTTCGTTGGGCAAAACAGTGCCTCTTCATGTCATAAGCAGGATATCTAAATCTTCCAGTTGGGTAAATATGGCATCTAGGTTTACCAAAAGTTATAAGTGCCTTGATTTTTTTATTTGCTATTTCATACAAAGGTCACCCATCTCCATAGCTCTGAGATACCAGACGTATAATAATGAAAGTAAGCCTCTCCTACTATAAGCATTCTCCCATGCAATTTACAGCCTCTGAAGACCCACTTGAAAGTCAGCTATGAGTTGGTTCCCAACTTGAGGGCACATAACAGCTAAATGTACAAGCTTCTCTTTTAATCTCCTCTTCCTCTCTTTCTTCTCTCCCTTTCCAGTATTTATGAGCCAAATAAAACATAAGTAACTCTAAAACAGAACTACAATTATGTTTTCATGCCAACAGAGTAGGACTTTCCTAGCTGGGATCTTTGGATCATATTCGGGTCAACATTTCCATTATACAGTCCACTGTTTCTAATTTCTCTATTCTTTACATTATCTAAAAAAGCAAACTTTGAATGATTGGAAAAATATTTTTAAATAACTGAATTTCCATGATAACTAAGCTGTTTTCATCTGATCTAAAATATGCTTAGGCCTCTCAGACACACCCTGTTTCAGATGACAAAATCCCTGAACTTTGAAACAATCCATCCTTAAGCCAAGTCTTGTATTTTCAAAGTTCTGCGCACATGATTCTCCTCTGTGTGAGAGATCCTGGAAATCTGTCTTAGTCTTACACCTGTTACTACCCTTCTAAGTGCTGAGCTTAGTGCTAAGCACATAGTAGGTGCTCTATATTTGTTTAAATACAAATAAAAGCCCATAGGAAGGTCTCAAGGTATGTGTGGTACCATTTACTTCTACAAACAAAACTCATTGGTATTAAAAGTGTATAAATTAATGCATAAATGTATTTCATGCTAAAATTCATAAAGGATATTCAAATCAATATTAGATGTATTGTTTTATGGTCCCCACTGTGATTCTCTATGTAAATCAAAAGTGTACTGTAAGCCTGAAATAGCTGGTGAATTTCTATTTAGAATCTGATTTCGCCTTGAAACTGCAGGTTCTGTTGATGTATAAATGTATTTGTGTATGTATGGAAAATAAATGATTTGTGACATGTATTGGCCACTTGTGATATAATGAGGACAGACCCTTGGGTTATCCACACAATTTTTTAAACATTCCTGGCTTTTTGTCTGAAAGGTACTTCACAGCAAATATTTACATAATGAATTATATACTCTCATTATTAAACAAGAGTTAAAAAATGTTACCTCAGACACACTTTTAAAAATCACATAAAAATATGCTGTAAGATTAATATACACCATTACACTATTATCACTAACTTTAACACAATGGTAAAGGACTTTTCTGTTTTCATGAGAAAGGGGAAAAAGTAGGAGTTGGTAAGCTTTAGACCCAAGTCACTAACTTCTCTGACTCTGAAAACAAGACTGGATAGTTTAGACTAGACTGCTGTTTATTCTTTAAAAATTTCTCTCATCTCAAAAAACAGAAAGCAGAGAATGTAGCTATTTTACTGAGCTCTTCATAGTAAAAAATATTTATAAACAAATCTTCGAAACACCTGTTTCACAGAGCATTCCTAGAATACAGAATGTTGTTGTCTGCTCTCAAGTTGAAATTGACTCCTAGCTGAGGTTCAAGCAGGTTTTCAGAGACAGAAATCACACTGGAGAACAGCAGTGACATAAAAAGCTGCTTTATGATTATATTCATAATAAATATTTTATACTCAACATGGGATACCTTTTGTCCCTAAAATATATGGTAAGAGCTAGACTTCATTTTTCTACCCTCGAACAATTTTTCCTCCATTACCCTCTAGAGCATGTCAGAAAATGCAAAGTTCAGAGAAACCAGAACCACACTCCAGTGTTTTCTGAGAGTACCCATAGCAAACACTTACCTCTTTGGTATCTAACTTCAAGCTATTTTCTCTCATTTCAAAAATCTTCATTAAACTTCTCACTCAAATATAAAATATTCTACACTTCGATTTGAGATGTTACAATAAAAATATTTATTTGACTATAAAAAGTAGTTAACTGGCAAAAAGAATTCTCATGGACTTGGTCTTTCTCTGCCCTGCTTTTAACCTAGTAATTGAATTTCAACATGATTCAGTCCAAAAAGTAAACAAAAAAAATTATAACTTAATATATACAGTCAATGAAACACAGATAACAAACTATGGCTGACTCTGAGAAGAATGGGAATCCCAGAACACTTGATCGTTCTAATGCGAAACTTATACTTGGACCAGGAGGCAGTCGTCAGAACAGACCAAGGGAACACACTGCATGGTTCAAAATTGGGAAGGGCGTACACCAGGGATGCATCCTATCTCCATACCTTTTCAACCTATATGCAGAACGGATTATCTGGGAGGCTGGGCTGTATGAGGAGACATGTGGGGTCAAGATTGGTGGACGATTTATCAACAATCTGCGTTATGCGGATGACACAACCCTGCTTGCTGAAACTGAGGAGGACCTGAAGCGCCTGCTGCAGAGTGTCAAGGACTGCAGCCTACAATATGGATTGAGGCTCAATGTCAAGAAGACAAAGATTCTCACCACTGGACCAATTGGCAGCATCAGGATGGATGGTGAAGAGATTGAGATTGTACACAGCTTTAGTTTGCTTGGCTCCATAGTCAACAGTCTTGGCACCAGCAGCCAGGAAATTAAAAGGCGTATTGCCATGGGAAAGTCTGCTGTTAGGGACCTCTCCAAAGTACTAAAGAGCAATGGTGTCTCTCTGGAGACTAAGGTGCATCTGATACATGCCATAGTCTTCACAATCACTTGTTATGCATCAGAGAGTTGGACAATGACCAAGGAGGATAGAAGGAGAATTGACGCCTTTGAGCTGTGGTGCTGGTGAAGAGTACTGAGGGTACCATGGACTGCTAGGAAAACAAACAGATTTGTCCTGGAAAGGGTTAAACCAGGTGGCTCCTTGGAGGCAAGGATTCTGAGGCTCCGTCTAGCTTACTTTGGACATGTTGTGAGGAGAGACTGGTCCTTCGAGAGGGACATCATGCTTTGCAGGGTGGAGGGACGGCGCAGGAGAGGAAGGCCCTCTATGAGATGGATTGATTCAGTGACTGGGAAAATTGGGATGGGAGTGTCGGAGACAGTGAGATTGGCACAGGACAGAGCGGAATTTAGGGCTGTTGTACATAGGGTCGCTATGAGTCGCAAGCAACTCCACGGCACGTAACAACAATATATACAGTTTCTTAAAAGGCAGCATAGCTAACAAATCTCAAAAACTTGAGAGAAAGGCTTTGCGTTTTCGTCTCTTAATGGTTTTCGGCATGTACAGAATGCTTCCTATTGGTTGTTCCGTTAGCAAGTTTCCCTTGTATAACGAGAAAAGCTCCAGTGTTAAAAACACATCTTCACGTGCATCTGCACAAATAACA